CTGTATGAGTGGCTATATTAAGACCTGGGTAAGTATTATTAAGAGTGTCTGCAATTTCAAAACTTGTTGCATCAGCACGCGAACGAGCGAGCTGACCAAAGTGACGCTGCTTTTTTAGACTTAAAACCTTTAAGCATCCTGAACGACATCGTTGTTTTAAATTTTTGGTTTTTTTTAACTAAGATGATCACCGATACAGTGTCCTTAGTGAGAACTTGATAATTTTGGGTAGTTCGTTTACATTTCGTGTTCTATTATTTCAAAATGACTTAACTACCTCATGTCGTTCTTTAATAGAAATTTTTTGCAGTATTATTACATCATATCGGTCATAAGGCACTCTTGTATTCAGTTTTTTATGCATGTTGATCAGTATAACATAGTAAATAACTAAACAAAAAATTGGTTTGTTATCCAATTAGATGTGATGTAAATTATTATTTTAATCACATGATCGTGACTGCCATTTTTTTCCGCCACTACTGTAATTATAGAAGTCACTATATAAATACATTATTTTCTAATAATAATATTTTACAATTTTATCATCTTATTAATTAATTAAGATTATTTAAATAATTATATTATACTGATATTTGCATTTATATAATATGAACCTAAATGTATTAAATAGATAAATCATTTTTTAATTTCTTTTATAATACATAGAGTTTGTCATTTATATATTAATAGTGTAGATAACTTATGACTCCTATTAATATTACAAGTTAAAATAATTATAATATGATTTTTTAATTTTTATATTAAAAATATAATAATTAAAAGTATTTTTGATAGTTCTAAATTCTAAAATAAAGCTGAATGTTAATAAGTTATAATTTTTATTAATTTTAAATATTATAAAGATTATATATAGAAAAACTAGGATTTAAAATAATTTTTAAATTTTGAGTAAATTCAAAAAATATATTATATTACATAATTTTTGATTTATTTTTAGATAAGAAGATAATAAAGATTACAAAATTTTACATATAAAAATTATGCTTTAGAATAATATTATACTAATTATATTAAAATATTTTCTTGTATCTTAAATTTCTAAAAATTAACTTTAATTATTAAATTTAGAAAAATAATTAACATAATAGGAAAATTTTACTTGAAATTTGATTGTGTTAATATTTTTTATATATCTCTTTTTATATTTTTGTTAAATATTATATCTTTACCTTCTTATAATTTATTTGTTTTAGAATTAAAGAATATGTTAAATATAAAAATATAATAAATATAATAAAAAAATTGATAAAATTTAACATTTTTTAATAATAATCAATATAATTATAAAAAATCTAAATAATAAAAATATAGTACTTATTTCAAAAAATTAGGTTTAAATAGTTTTTATAAGATATTAAATTTAGTAAATTAGATAAATAACAATTAAACTTTACTCTTAAAGCTCAATTAATAGTATTTGCTTATTTATAATTATAAACAAATTTCACAAATTTCACAAAATAATTCTTAAAAAAAAATGCATTAGAATTATTGATATTCTTATAATCAATCTTTTAATATTTATGTAAATACTTATTTAAAGATAGTTAGAATTACAAAATATTATTTTAAAACTCTATAATAAAATTTTTAAAAAATGGTCTTATTTAACAAATTCATAAAAATACAGAATATATATCACATTTATCATCAAAATTATACTGTAATTACATCTGAATTAAAAAATATTATCAAAATATTTATCTCTAATTATGCACAAATTTATGAATTATCATCTTTTTAAGATATTGGACTGATTTAATAATATTTATTTATTTTAATTTTAACAACATATATATCTATTTATAATATATTTATAGTTATATATTTATAATAATAATTTATGAATTTTAATTATATATTATTTTTAGAAATTTGATATAATCTAATATTATATATAAATTTGAAAAATATGAAACTAATTTATGTGAAATATGCTAATAATTTAAAGCACAATTAATTTTAGTAAAAAAAAGACAATAAGGAATATTTATTTATTATAGAAACTTTAATATTTATAAAGCTTAAACTGATACTAAGCATAATTATTATAATAAAAATATTAAATTGAGTAATAATGTTATTCATATTATTAATAGAGTAATTGACTAATCATAATGAAGTCACGTAGATGATGCAGTATGATGATCTCTTAATCCAGAATTCTAAAAATATTGAGAATTCTACGAATTCTGAAAATACAGAGGATCTACTTAATTCTGAAGATCTTCCAAATACTGATGATAATCCTAATGTTATGAATTAAATAAAGTTTAAGAATATTTAGTATTATACTTATTTTTAATATTCTAAAAATTATTGTTATTTTTATTATATTTTATATTTTTATTATTTTACGTATTTTTATTATACTTAATATATTTATTTTACTTATATTTTATTTTACTAAATTAGTTAGTTTATAGCATAATAATTAGTTAGCCATGATAAAAGAAATTTTGTATAAATAGATAAACTTTTTGCTTATGTTGTAAATTAACTCTTTTGCAAATACGAATTTCAATATTAATAAAGGAATCATTTAAAACTTATATCTTTTTGCCTCTTTGTGTTTTCATATAGTCTAACGTGATCCTTACACATTATTTGTAATTGAGTTCATCATCTAAATTCTTTAATTAAATTATTTGTAATATTGTCTTTCAAGTCTTCATACTTGATAGATTTGTTTAAATCTAATGCGTAAATTTGGTAAAGTTAAAAGTTAAGCAAATTTTAACATCTTGACCACAGTAAGCTACAGTTAGAAATTTAGAGTAAAGACTTAATAATGTGACCACCCTGAGTTAAAGAATTCTACAGTGACAATATATATTATGATTAAATTTAGCATATCTCTATTTCTCATTTATCTTAATAAATAGATACAACTTATTTTAAGACAGTTTTTTACTATTCATATTTTTGATATTTATAATACTAGCAATATAAATAGATAACTTAATTTTAAAAATGAATTTTCTGTAGAAATAGCAAAAAGAATTAATACTACTCTTAACATGATATTTCATTCACTTAATGAATTTAAAAAATTGAAAAAAAAGCTTTTTAAAATTACATATAATAATTGTGATGAACAAAACAAAAATAATCTTTTTTATAATTTTAGCTTTGATTAATAATAATAAAATAGTTTGATAAAATTAAATTAAATTTCATGATTTTAAGTTGTATACAATAAATATTTTCTAAGATATACTAAGTTATATATAATAAATTTTTTAGAAATTTTATTATATAAATAAAATTAATATAGTAAATAAAATTAAATAGATAATTAATATATTTATAACTGTAAATGAAGTAGTAAAATATAATAAAAGATTAGATTAAATTTGATATGATTTTATATCATATCTTTTATTACATTTTAAAGGATTTTTAGATATAATCAAATATTATTATTTTCAATTTTCTAAATCAAAATTATAAAAGATTTATTATTTTAAAAAATCAGAAGGTAAAAAATTTCCATTTGTTCTTCTTTTAAATAATAATTATAGTTTCAATTAACTTTATTTGATTTTTAATATTTAACCTTTAACACTAAAATATTAATAGTATTTGTATAATAAAATTTATTAGTATATTAATAAAAAATTTAAAGATGTTTTATATCCTTTTTTTACTAATAATAATAAAGATATTTAGATATTTTTATATATAAAACATTTTTAGTCTTTAATAAATTTTATTAAAAAGTTTAATAAATAAAATTTAAAAATGATAATTTATTTATTTATGTTATATGTTAGATGTTAATTTATATTAACTGATAGTTAACATACATCAGATGACTAATGTTGACTAAATCTTTTTAAGGTATTATAAAATCAACTTAAGATAGATCTATAATTTAGACAAGTTAGTATTTAACGCAAATCCTCATCTGATACATAACATATATGTGAATAATAACTTAGTATATTAAAAAAATATTCTGAAAAAGATTTAACTAATATTATTCTTATAAAAAATAAATAAATAAATAAAAATTATAAAAAAAAAATAATTTTAAAAAAAATATTAGAATTTTCTCTAATTAGATCAATTCAAGGATTTTAATGCTTATAAAAAGTAATTTTTAATTTATTTAATTTGTTAATTTAATTAAATAAAAAAATATTTACCTTTTTCTCTTTATAGAATTTACCCCTAATCTGATTATTTTAATATCTATAAAAAAGAAATAGATAAGTAAATTATTAATTTTTTAATTTATTAATTGCCAATCTGTATATGGTGGATATAAAAAATGCGATGCAATATTATTATATAGAAATTGTAGATCCTTTTTTTGCCATAAAAATGTATAATCATTTATTATACAATTACACAATTAATATATGTCATGAGATATATAAGTCTATAAAAAGCTATTTATTTAAAAAAATTTACTATTTATTTGCGACTTTAAAAGTTTTATATGAAGGAAAGAAAGATTTCATAGTAAGTTACTATTATAATTTGCAAATTACCAGATCTATATTTTACTCAATTTTTTGACGTTTGCTGATTCTTTTGTCACTAAACTCTACAATTGTATCATTTTTCATTGTTAGTGCATGTTCTGATGTTTCTTTTTTGAAATTTACATTATATCTTCTAATCTAGCCTTTTATAGTTTTTACTAATAGTACTTCGTCAGGTATAATCTCACCTTTTGCAACTAAATCTTTAAGACTAGCATGCATAACTTCAGGAGAATAACGGTCTGTAGGTCTTAAATTTTCAGCTAAAAAAAAACTTTGTAAATATTGAACAACCTTTTTTGATATATGTTTTCCTTCACCCTTGTTACTGAATTTCATATTTTCTTTTAAAGTCCATCTAAAATTGAAAGGAAATTTTTGGTTAACACTAAAAAAATAAGAAAATACAATGAAAGAAGATAAGATATATATTCTATTATATATTTGATCGTTTGTAATGATAAAAATATATTACCTTGCATTCTCATTAACTATCTTATTAAATTCATTATCAATAAAATCTGTAGATGTTTTATTTGCTAAGGACACTTATTTTTTTAAAAAAGAATTAGTAATAAATTAGTTACTATGAATTTTGAATTTTGAATTAATAATAAGTAATAATTTATTTATATTACCTGATTTTTTAGGAATCGGCATTTTCCATGAAGCTTTAGGTTTAGTTAGTTCAAAAACTACTGGAGATAGTTTATAACTAGTATTGCAAAAAGAAGCAACTTGTGCAGGTGAAAAATTCGTCCATGTACCAATATGAGAAAGAGAACATGCACGTATATATCCTGCAAATTGACCATCTATTAGCCAAGTCTATTCAAACTATTTTGAA